CTGATTGGCTAAATGGCAATGGAATATCAATTAACATGTGTTAAATGACCTTCTAAGTCATTTGGGTCTTGAAATGACCCAATGACTAGTCATTTGTCATTTGAGTCATTTCAGGTCATTTCAGGTCATTTACCATCACTGCGAAATAGTATCAATGATTCGATGAGGGTAGCCTACAAAACAAACAATTATAAATTTTTTTTCATAAAAAAAAAAAAAAAAAAAAGGATTAAATAACTATTAAACTATTATACTTGCTTCATTTCTATTAACTATAAGAACCGATGCAGTTGGTGGTGTCAAAGAAATGACATCAGCGGTATACATAGTTTTAATTACCGCCCCTGGGGTACAATAGTTATATGAAATATTGGATTGTTGAGCAAACCACATGCCTTCATTTTGTATTAAAAGTTACAATTAATTTTTAATAAAAAAAAGTAAACGAATAAATTATTTAATTATGACAAGTATACTAACGCCCTCCACCACATCGACCAAATGTAGAAGAATTCCCATTTCGTGCAATTCCGCTATTCATAATTTAATGGTGGTCGATTGAGGTTAATGTTAAAAAAAAAAAAAAATACAATAATCATAATATAACATAAGAGTTTTACCATGCTCCACATCCATTATTACGACAATGATTCCATTGTGCGTAATTAGCCGGATTATTACAAATACATTTAGTACCATGAAACATTTTATGTGTGATGCTTTCTGGAGTAACTCGAGATCCTCGGGCCATATCGTTCTTATACCTTTCATGTGCTTCAACAAGCGCTGTCGGCATCTGCATGCCAATAATGGCTACAACTTGTACATTAGGCATAGTTGCCATAAATCTTCTATATATTTCCCTATATTGGTCACTTGTTTGCTCTAAAACTGTCATTATAGTATTAAGTATTGGTGTAAGCTGTTTCAAAAAACTACCACAAGCTTCACAGGTAGTCATGTTATCTTGGTTATATAATGTGCATACAGGACACTGTTGCATATTCAAATCGGGTACATTTAAAAATTCTAAATCTCCAATAGGTGAATAACACATCTCGCATTGGGAATGAATGGGATTATTAAGGTATGAACAGGCCGAACATCGAATCGCCGCATCCTCATGATACACGTTGCTATTGAAGGCAAGTATGGAATTATTAATCCCATAATCATCATCATCATCAATAACTGTGATTAACTGGGATCCGCATACTTCACAATAACTCAACAATGGATGATTTAAAAACATGCAACTTTGACATATTATATGATTCTTATCATCTTCCTGTGGTGATTGTTGTTGTTGCAGCTGTTGTTGTTGTTGTTGTTGTTGTTGTTGCTGTTGTTGTTGCTGCTGTTGTTGCTGTTGCTGTTGCTGCTGTTGTTGTTGTTGCAGCTGCGGTTGCTGACGCGTTTTCTGCACTGGAGTATGGTTAGCAAGAACATCTATATACAAATCATCCTCTTCCTCCTCAGCCTCTTTGATCCAGTAATTAGACGGTTCATTTCGCACAGATTCTTCCTTTTTGACATTGGTACCACATATTTCACATGTTGTTCTGTTTGGTCGAACAAAATATGTACAATTAGAACAAAATACAGTCTTTGCTTCGGCTGAATCATTTGAAGTTTGTTCAAATGGTGAAAAGCTTAGGTTGTCCGGGTTAACATTAGGATCTAACCATGTTGAGAAATTTGGCTCAGACTGTTTTGAGGACGCGTAATAGTCATTGGTTGATGTGTATTCTTGTTGAGATGTAGGAAAATAAGATGAAGAGCTAGAAGATTGTTGAAGTAATCTAAATGGATTTCTTAAAAATTTACTAGTATCGTTAGAATTTTGAGAAGATTGTGAAGAAGATTCTAATATTACAGGATTAGTTTGTGGCTGTGACCACTGCTGTGTCTCTGTTGCATCCACATCGTAAACCTCCGGCGCAACTTCATAATCATTCACAGGTTCTGGATTGCTACTCTGAAAACTTGCTAATTGGCAAGCAGTGCTACAATAGTTAAAATCAATCCCATTTCTACCTCTTTTAACTTTATTTGGGCAACCAGGGTAAAGACATAAAGTATCATTATCCTTTTTTCCAAGTTTCTTTAGTGATCTTAGCATATCGGACAAAAAGTCTGCTTTTAACTAAGATTGTAAAATATATAAATAAAAAAAAAGATAGAATAAAATATGAGATTATAAAAGTTGACGATTTTTTGATGTAAGTTGTTATTTACTGGTACATCTGGTACATACAATTGCCAGAATGACTAGTTAATAAATTGAAAAGGAGAAGCGGAAATATTTAAATTTCTCCGGATTCCGGACTCCGCGTATCTATAGCTGTTACTCTCATCTTTATAATAGTTGTGTTACGGGCTACACATTCTTAAAAAAGAACTTAAATCTTTATCTGGTTTTAATGACACTCCCAATTTAGACTAATCTATGATCATCTAGTTTTTACAGCTGTTCTTTGAGATTATTTTGATAGCCACCATAAAAAAGGTTATTTAAATCATTGCGCAGAATTGAAAAGCCACCGACGTCAGCAAACTTATAGAGGCTTTTGAAAATTGGTCAGCATTTTACAGTCTTAAACATGAGAATTCTATCAAATTTAATACTGTAATGAGTATAATTTATATAAATAAACGCTTACCTAATTGCATAAGCAAACTTTTAAATAAACTTTTTTTTTTATAATAACAGCATAAATAATTATTTCCCTATTTAAACAGTAAAAACATGAAAGAATTCAATATACAAATAATTATAATTTAGCAATCCTATTTTATCATTAACTTACAACCATGATTCTGTTCATGAGATTTTTATAATACCAATAATTAAGCAAATAATCTTCTATGACATAATATATAGAAAGGATTATTCAGTAATAAATGCTAAAATACAAAACCTATAAACCTAAGCTATAGAAAAATTACCTAGTCTTAATATTTATAACCAGAATTGTAAATTTAACTACCCTGTAAACCCTATATAATATTTATAAACCTAAATCTAGCTATTGTACAATTAAGTTTGATTTACATGTTTAAAAAAAACAGAAAACAAATCAACATTCCTTTATATTTCTAAAAAAAGAATAAATAAATAAATAAAATAAATTATAAAACAGCAAATATAATAATCAATGCTACAATAATACCAAGAACTACTAAAATTAAAATTATAGCTAATATTATCATTAATATATTCTGTATTATAAAGAATGTTAATAAAATGACATTTAGTACAAGCTTTTCATTGAATTAAATTATAATTAAAATCTTACCCTTCTGTTTTTGTTTATGTGTCTTTTTTTAGGTTGACGTACGATTCTTTCAGTTTGTGGTGAGTCTGAAGTCAATTCAAAAAATTTTGTTTTGTGAACCGAATCATCTTTTTCTATTACTAATGCTTGAATTTCATTAAACTTATTTTTTAGTTCCTATTGATATATATGACAGCGTTAGAGGATAGATAAGAAATATATGAACCAAAGCTAGAACATACGAATAGGATTTGATGAATCTTCAAGGTTATATAGGTTACATTAGGCCGGAGAAGTTTGAAATTCTCGACACTGGATGTATATAGAAGTAATATTGAAATTTAAATATAATCATCCAACTAGAGTAACCTTGAAAATTCTCCAAGTCCTACCCGTTAGTCCGAGTAATATAAAAAGGTTCGATGCCCAAATCCAGGTAAATACTGATATAATTCATACATTTATTGAATTTTCAATCCGCCGAACATCACGTTGGCGGTCTTGAATTTCCGTAATAATTGTGCTCGATTGGTCTGACTCTGTTGATGATTGTATCTAATTTAAATTTAAATAACTTTAAATAAATTTTGTATTAAACAAGTATTTCATTACTTGTAATGAAAGGTACCTTATTTATATCATTATCTATGAATTGATCAATTTCTTCTTGTGTAGCATCAGGATTTACTACATAAAAAAACAAATAAGATTATATGTCGCAAATACTTCTCCCAGAATGTCAACAAATAAAATTAGAATAGGCTTCTACCTTTAAGATATTGCTCTGTAATTTTCCTTCTATATTTCCTAGCATTTTCTATCTGCATATTACGATAGCTAGTCATTGTATCCATAAATTCTTTTGCTAGGGTTGCATGCTTCGAATTAATTAAAATTATTGTCAGAATGATATTGTAAAATGAAGAAGCAAGATGATATAAATAAATATCAGGTACCTGCGTTGATCTCTTTTTTGCTTGATCCTGTCCTCCGAGTGATTTATTACTTTTTTCCATAGCTTTATTTGAGTAAATATTGGATTATCAATAATAAATCTCAAATACAAATACTTTTTTTCAAAGGAAAAGAAAGAGATAAATAAATAAATAAATAAATAGATATAACATACATGCCAATTTGCGACTAATTTCACCGCTTATTCGACTGGTCTCCGAAATCAATAACTCAAGTTGCCGTGACAAACCTAAAGTAATTTGTACAAATAAAAAAACCAAATAAGTAATAAATTCAAAAATTATTCATTAATTGTACAAAGTAAGAAATGAACAATAAATTAGGAACGGTGCTCAACGAGAACTCTCATCTTCCGTTTCTACAGCCAAGGTTCTTTTATACAAATCTTTGAGAGCTGTAATATTTTCCCTTATCGAACGAATCATTTCTGTTATGGAATTTACCTATAGAAACGGAAATTCACAATACTTTGTTTTGTAAGTAGAGTTTAAATTCAATAAATTACAACGAACGAAAAGCAAAGAGAATTTCATACTTATCGCAAATGTTATACTGACCTCTTTGTAAAACTCTCCGAGAGTTTGGCTACCACTACTTAAGCCACCACCATTCTCAATATCTTCCTCCACTTCTAAGTCGTCTACATTGCTTGTACTTTGAACGCCTTCACTTGTATTTAACTTTTATATTTAAATAATTAATTTAAAAAATTTGGTCAAGCATTCAAAGTTAAATATAAAACTCACCCGAGAATCAGAAGTGTGATTTTGACTCATTATGCTAATGACAAAAATATAGTACTTTTCAGAGAGTTTATGTTTTTTTTTTGAATAAATTGGAGAACTTTGAAGGCCAGCCACAAACTCTCCGAGAATACATTGACCAGCATAGGTACGTACACGAACAAAAAATAAAGATTTTTAACTTCTAAATTCGTGTCGCCGACTACTAAATTTGAAAGTGGTGATGTTGTGACACTAATTCTGTATTCCCGCCGAGGCATAATGCAAGTAGATCTTCAGCAACCCGAAATAGTCAAAATAGGTCAAAGTATATATATATTTAGCCGAATAATAATACAACGGTTGGTTTCACATCAATCTGCCAAAATTACGGTTTTAAAGATTTTGTTATACAACATATATCATTATGACATTTCACACTGTTACCTTATGTGATGCATTCTAATTCTCGGGTTACGCATTTTCAATTCAAATTCTCGGAATGTTATAAATAGTGTCATTTATTTTCAATAATAGAAAGTAGATTGTTTTTGTGTGTGCAACACGAAAAAAAATTTATTATTGCATTTAATTAATGAATAAATGAAAAACGGATCTGTATGTAATAATAGCATGTATGAACATATGTACTTATTTTTATTAGTAAACTTTATCATCTGTTATTGCATTTTTAATTAATATTATTTTTGGGGGGTGTATTCAATTAAACATATTAATTAAGACTCTTTTACGCCTTTGAACGTAACGTTCAATGAACCCCGAAATTTGTAAGTCTCGTGAATAACTAACTAATCAATTAATTTCTATAATATTATAATAATAATAATAAACGTGATCCTCACACTGAAGTTAATTTCGTTAATAAAAAAAAAAGGTTAAGATTAGAATAATTACTAAAATAGATAGTATGGCGATATAATGCCTAATGCAGATTGTGCATAAACTTTGAGCCATGAACTAATTAGCTGGTACGTAAAAAAAACGGTTGATTAAAATCCAAAAATATATTTAATATATCTGTCGACTATAATTATAATAATGGTAAATGAAAATCCCAAAAGATAAAATGACTATACTTTAAATAGAACATTAATTCGAAAGTAATTATGCATCTATTTTTATTTTTTTAATTTCCATTTATTTTACTGGTTCTATAGACAGGTTTATCAGGGTAAGTAATATCTAAAGCTGTTCGAAGGATATTCTGAAATTCAAATAAATTAATGGCTTCATCATAGAAGGGAAATACATCAATGATCCTATTAAATACGTGTTTATGGTAAGGTGACCTACATAAACTACCTTGTTTCATTATTGAAAGGTTTCCACATTGAATGCACACGTACATCTCGCAATGTTTAACAAAATAAGGAAATCCCAAAATGCCTTGCAAAAAATTGTGTAAAGGTTTAGATTTTCTAATATGTAGAAATAAAGAAAATATATATTTAAATTATTAATCCATATAAATTTTTTTATTTACCATAATATGAAATGAATTTCTTACAAATTATTTCGTTGAGCATATGTTCTTCCCAACATATTCAATGAGACTTTTGAATTTAAAAAAACATCGACATCCTCAATTTTTTCAAATTTATGTGGCATCTGAGGTAAGTAATGATTTTCGTCGAACCAATTATTCGTTTGCCAGCATGGACCAATTATCCTTGAATTTGAAGATATTGCATTACAGTCAAGACATTTGTAAAGTGCCCAGTTGTAAAGTTTTTTTGGTAAGGTTTCAAGAAATCGTGTGTATATTTCAAGTGCCTCATGGCTTTTATGAAATTCTAAAAATAAAAAAAAAAAATAAAAGTTATTAATTATAATTTTATCATCTAATATAACTGGGAGTAGTGTTGTACTGTACAGTACATACAAATCACATACCATCAATTTTAATATATTCTTTCCAATCAGTGTTTCCAAAATTACCAGAATAGAACATTCTTTTTCCTAACGAAATAGGTTCAAAGTGTATATCCCATTTGTGAGAGAGCGCTTCCGGGCGTAAAGAATCCACACAATTCTTGAGAATATCAAAAAAATGTAATAGGTCAAACTTTATGCCTTTCAGTTGATCTAAACTAGTTAACATATAAGAATGCTTATGATTTGAACTACGATATCCGGCATGTTCGGGAAAAGATGAAACTGTATCACATTTTCGACAAATGTAAACCTTATATAGTTCAAAGAAATAATTTGCAGATTTGTTGAATTCTTCAAAATTCATTCCGACCCTATTATTTGAAAGGTAGTCATTAGTTTATCTTTCATTTGTAATTAAATAAAGTTATAATTCAATATTTACAATTCAAAAAGTGATCTTAAAGTCGTAATATCTAGTTTAGTGTCACGTAATCCATCTACAGAAGAAATTCTTTCAATTTTATGTGAATATTTTTGTCGGTAACATTGCTGCATATCTTCATCTTGAGATCGTTGAGGAAGTGAAATCTTGTGACAGTTAGAGCACTCAACTAATGCATCCTTCCTGAGCAAATCAGGAAGTTCATCGATGAAGAGGTTAAAATCATTCACGGTTTGTAAACAGCGTTTATAATCTTCGGCTCGAATATCTAAAATGTTTAAATTTGATATCGTTAATGATAATTTAAGAGGCATATAAAAACCGCGCAATTTTTGTTTTTACTCACATTCTTGATCGAACAATATTGCCCATCTTTCATCGTCCATTTTTTTTGAAATTGGATTGACTCTAACGAATAATTACTATGAACACTACTTATCCATATATAACACAGCCACGACGACATCGCCAATTATTAGCTTGTACGTATGTACATTAGTTGGAGCATAAGTTTGACTTTTAAAGCAATCCAATAGTAGAAGCAGTGGTTATGATAGTATATAGACAAATTTAGTAGATAATTTAATATTTTGTGGACAAGATAAACGAGTTTTACAAGTTTAAATCACGAGCTTGGAAGATTTCAAATGCCCAAAATTGCTCTAAATCAAATGAAACTTGTATTAAAAGAATATAGTACCGGAACACGACAAGATTTAACAATGGCTATACAAAACTTTTAAGTAAATTGGCGGATCTTTAATAAAACTACAGTACCGTTAGAAGGTTTTACTTAAGAGTTATAAGTGTCAAATATACTCATTTTATTAGTTTAAAATTAGAATACATATAATTACATCAATATATTATTCTAATTACTTCTTTATTGTTTAATATCGATGTTAATAATTTTATAATCTTCAATTCATGTTTGATTTATAAGAACTATTTCTACTTCCTCTTTTGATATTGTCAAATGAAAGAAATAGACTGATAAGTGGACCCCCCCGTTGACAATGGGGCTCGTTCAACTTATCCTAGCATTTACTATTAAAACATAACTACGCATGTATGTGCATCGTGGCATAATGTCATAAGCTAACAATATTAGAAAATCTTTATTACTGTTTTATTTAGAATTCTTTCAACATTACTATAATTGGTTATCACTCAATTATCTTATATATGGATCCAATATTATCCGAGATTAAAAATTACGACCCGATAATTACTAACTTATCAGTTATTACTCCTTATACTTCCTTATATCGTAAGGTCGGGAAAATTTTTCTGGGCATACCCAATCATTTCGACTAAAGTCACATTCCCACCTCCCAAAAAAAATTACACGCATACAATCGCAACTTATATTGGTAACAGACATACAGTATATAAAAGTCTGATCGGTATTAATTTGCTGTGTTTCGCATGATTTTCAAAGGGATAATATACCTACACAACAAACACGAACTACATAAAGTAAATTAGTTTTCATGTAATTTGTAATTTGAACAAAAAAATTTTCGGTGATTGAATTACAGCGTGGATCACACTTTCATATTTTCGTAATTTCGGTACTTTATCAGTTGTAGATAACGTAATGAAAATCTAATATAACTTACATAAATACATTAAATAATTTTCGTAACATATCCCTGGATCTACATGACCAACATTAGGGCTGGAGTTAAGAGTATTACAGAATTGGGTCATGTGTATGTTCTCAGTATAACATCCACTTCTTTAAAAGTACAAAATGCTAAAAGTGATGTTAGCAAAAAGTCCTTGAGTGTTACCCTTATTAACGTTAAATAAGCAAATCTCCAGAAAATGACATAATAATGATGATAATGTAACTTCTGGTCATTTTGCACGCCAATGTGCTCGTCAAAAATGACGAAATATATCGGCTTTATTGAAGTAGCTCAGATCAGCAGTAAACACTAATATTGTAATTACGACATAATGGAAAATCCGTTGTCTTTCTCCGGATCAACGTCAGCAGTCGACTCTGTACGTAAAGGAGGTGCTGTCAGTCAAAACGTCATATAGTGAGATTATTAATATTGTTATACAAAATGATAAAAAATTAGTGAATGTCTAATCGCAATACAGTCAACTCTCTCTAAGTGCAATTCATTGCGACCGGACTTTTAACAACATGCATTTAGAGAACATGCATTTAGGAAGAAGCTGCACTTAAAGGGGTTGCACTTAGAGAGAGTTGACTGTATCAGTATTAAGTTTATTAATAAGAACATATTTCGATTGACGTTACTCATGCTACCCTATGTTACAATTAGACATGCACTGATTTTTTATCACTCCAATACTTGCTCTGATAAAGATAGTCCTAAACTTACTTTTTTTGATCGATAAAACTAAATAATTACCGTAGTGCACTGACTAAAAGACCCGGGGTCTAATATAAAATACCTGAAAAAAAACTTATAAAATACCCGGGGGTATTTTGACTGTTACTGGGCCAAAATTTTGGATTTTTACCAGAATTACATAATTTTACACCATATATTATACCCGGGTATTTTACATAGGGGGTATTCAAAATGGGGGGT